CTTTGTCTCTGTGTACCCTTGGGCAAGCAACAATCTCTCTCAGCTTTGGTTTTCTCACCTCTCAAATGTTGGCAGCATGGTTGTGAAGATTAAATGAGATGCTGTATATAAAGTGCCGGGAATCTAGCAAATATGGTGATGGAGCATCCCTCGCCCTTCCTCTGCCTAGCTAACTTCAAGGTTTGACTGAAGGGTCACAGCCTCTGTGAAGCCCTCCCTGATTCTCCGGGTCCCCTGTACCCCAGCCTCTTCAGTCTCTTAAAATGCAAAATGGCTGCTGGCTACATGACATTGGTGCTCTGCCTGCATCCGTGGGTCCCAAGGCCTGGGATGGTGTCTTGGCCATCTCTTTGCCCCCAGCACCTGGCAAAGTGTAAAGCAATGTGCAGTCATTACTGCACAGCCTTTCTGGTAATACACAGTGACATCTCTGGAAACCTAATTTTAAACAATATTGCAAATGAGATTATATGAAGTCGTCATGGGTTCTCCCTTCAGATTGTGGGCTCTTTTGAAAGCAAGAAGGTGCCTTCTATAATCTAGGCCCTTACAGTAAATACCTCTGAGAGAGAAAAATATTTGAGTGAAATATTTTGCATTTACTGGTAGGTTATAAATAACAAAGCAGCAATCTGACCTAAAAGATGAAGGCCTGGCCCTTGGCCCTTGCAAAGGCGGTGGAGCGCTGCCAGCCGCAGGCTTCCTCGCTGGTCCTTGGAAATGGAAACAGGGAATGAAAGGAGCCTCTGATCACAGGGAGGGCTGCGGAAGAGACAGAGCTGTAATTGTACCAAATTTTGATCTAAAAGAAGTGACATGGACAAAAGGAGAGTGATGTGGGAAAATCCATGAAGAGAGCCTTTCTGCATTCAGGTATAACTGATGTTTGTGCCCAGTGCACAGCGACTCCCCATAACCATGGCAACCAGGATCCAGGCTATACTTGCACTGTGTGGAGTTTCTGTGCTGTTTGTTATTTTTTATTCTGGGCCACAGGTAGGGAATTTGGGGTCGGTTGTATTTTATGAAACATCCATTTGCAATATTGCCAATGTAGGGAGGGAAAAAATCGTTTTTCTTCTATCCATCTAGGTTTCTGGCTGGAACTCTAACAAAAAACAAATTAACAAAAGGAAAGCATTCACATTTATAACGTAAGTTTTACGTGACACAGGAGCCTTCATAAGGAAATAAATACCCCCCCAAAATGGTTAAGCCTGAGTGTTTTTATGCTAGGTTTGATGAAGAGTGGAAAGTCATGAGAAAATGTGGTAGGGCAAAGGTTATGAGCCAAGGGTAGTACACTGAGGGAAACCTGGCGAGGCCTGTTGTTCAGATTCCTCTCAGCACGTCTCCATCTATAGACATGAGAGTGGTCTTTTCCTTGGGTGTAGGGTGGGCACCTCTCACTTGAGGGTCCTATGATCCGCCATTTCTCAAATTCCTTCAGCTTAAAATATCCCATATGCTGAGGTGCCATATTTGGAGTAGCGTGTCCTGAACCCCATCATCAAGGACTTTGGCAACCATAAGGATACAGGGAGAGCTGTCTTGTGTACTCAAGTTTGAATCCAGGTACAGTGGTACCTTGATTTTTTAATGTAATCTGTTCCAGAAGACTGTTCGAGGTCTGAAACATTCGGAAACCGAGGGATCCACAGCCGACAGCTGGGCCTCAGGATCCTGCCCTCAGTGGGAGCCGCGGGGCATGTTCGACTTCGGAGGCGAGTTCGAAAACCGAAGCATCGCCTTCAGGTTTACGGCGTTCCTAACCCGAAATGGTCAACGGAGACGTTCGAAAACCAAGGTATCACTGTATATGAAATTTGGACCATTGCTATGGCCACTTAACTGGTGTCCCTGCATCTGTCTTTGCTTCCCTCCCCATCTAATTACCACAGCAGCCAGAGGGATCCTTCCTAAAGGTCATTCAAATCTTTTCACTACCAACTCCCTAGCTTCCATGGCTTCCCATGAGGCTTGGAAAAAACTCCAAGGTTCTTATGGTGACCGACAGGGCCTTGACCAACCCGATGGCTCTTTGACTTCACTGCTCACCCTCCTTCCCTTTGCCATGACACCTCAGTCCCAGTGGACCCTTGCTGTACCTTGTCTGACAGGCACCCTCCCATCTTGGGGCCTTTTCCTGTAAAAATTATTTTAAATTAAATGAAAGATCCTTTACCCCAAAAGCAATTTATAAAACACTTTTATTTTTAGGGAATAAGACACAGGATGTGAAAGAATGATTATCTATGCTTAGAAAACGTAATGCTATTTCATTGGCTAAAAGAAAACCCCCAGGTTACTATTTTCCTAACTCTAGTTGTAAAAGCCACTAACAGTTAATACAAAATGAGGAAGACTAGCCAGATTTCTACGTCTTGGAGAGTAAAGGGATTTCCATTTCAGGTGTTTTTGTCTGCAAATTTTGTTTGCAAAATTCCAGTATAAATAAAAACTACCCGCAAAAACCCCCAAACCCCAAAACACATACACACCAAAAAAAAACCCTAATGAAAAAGCAAATAGTGGCATGAACTAATCACACTTGGGTTTCATGTACTATGCTCTTTTATAGCCACTGAATAGCTTTTAAGATCATTCCAAGTCACATGAAACCACACTTTGTGAAACTTGAAGTTTTAGGTGACTTTGCAAGTTTCTCTTTAAAAGACTAACATGTGACATCACAATAAGCAGCCCTGGGGAGTCTCAGGGAAAAAAGGGACCAAAATAGAATTCACACTTGATGGCTTCAAGCTAATTTCTTCAAAACCATTTGAAAAGACAAGGATATTTTCATTTTGTGCACCTTTGGGGGAATTCTATCATGAGGCAGGTAAATCTTACCTGTGCTTAGGCCTTCAGGGTTGTGGCAGAGCAAGTTAAGCAAGTTAGGAGAAAAGAACTGGTGAAAATGTATAGGTTATCTGGTTTGCAGATAACTCAGAAGTAAGCTTGTTAAAACTATTACAATTAATATTCTATGAATGTTTAAAAGAGAAAAAAATCAGCTGTAACCACACAGAAGGCTTGTTGTGTTTAAACAATTATACCGATTGCTTAAACACTGCAAGGCCTCAAAGAAGTCATTTCCTCTTCAATTCATTTATTAGAGAAATGTTGGTAGATTCAAAGGCTGAAGCAATGGCCTTCCCCTGACACATTAATTCCTGTTTTACATAAGTAGATTTGGAACTTCAGACCTAGAGGGGTTCAGAGTATGTCACCCCAAGATATGCCATCCTGGCATAAGGATCGTTCTGAGCTGAAAGCGAGAAAAAGCAGACCCGGGATGAGCTCCCTGAAAGCAGGACACAAATCCCCCTCATGAATCCCATACCAGGAAGGAGGTAGCAACCTTACCACCGGAGACACTGGGAAGAGTCTACACAAACAAACCTGACTACATAACCATTATCTTCCATTAGGTCCCCCATATATTTACTCTCCCGGTTTGCTGCCCCTAGAAGCCCAAAGCCCTTTTCCTTTGTCTTGTTACTTCTCTACAAATTCATTGTTCTTTGTTAAGATGCCACATAGGCCAAGTTCTAACCACCCCTTTGAGTTACTCATCGCTGAGTTTCTCCTGCCTGTACCATGCTGCAAGTGTTAATAAACTGGTTTTCTCTCGTTAATCTGTCTTTTGTCAAAGTTGCAGCCTCCCAGGTACAAAGCCTGGGAGGGTTTTTGCCCTCTGTGGATCTAAAATATGCCCTTGAGAGCATGAAGGCTCCCTAACATCAGAAACCAAATGTCATAGTTGAAGAGTTTATATACCCTGGAGAACTCTGCAAAGAAAAAAAAAGAACTCCTTCGACTAATCAAGGACTCGAAACAAAATAGTGTGGGATTAATTATAGGGTAACTTTTGTGGCTTAAGGGAGACGTGTAAAGTGAGAAACAAGAGGAAAAAAATAACAAAGCTCTAGTTACCCAATGTTAGAGCCTAAAGGCACTATGCATTTAGTCTTACATCTCCAGGAACACATTTCTCAGAAGTCAATACTGCCCTGGCTGGTGTGGCTCAGCTGGTGGGAGCATCATCCTGTGCACCGAGGGGCTGCAGGTTCAATCCCTGGTCAGGGCACATACGGGAGGCAACGAACCGATGTTTCTCTTCCTCCCTCTCCTTTCCTCTCTCTCTTAAAAATTAATGAGAAACATGTCCTTGGGTGAGGATTTAAAAAAAAAAAAAAAGTCAATATTGACGCAGTCCCCGACAGTGAAGGTGGAGGAAGACAATCTGGGAGTAGTTCGAGTTGGGCTACCTATGGTTGTGTAACTTGGGCAAGTCACGGCACTTCTGTGGACCTGTTTCATCATCTGTAAAGTATACAGAATAAGTCTTTTCTTAGAGCTGTGAAATGGATCACGTGAGAGCCTAGGTATGAGCAGTTCTCATCTCGGATGGCATTTCAAAATAACTCGAGGAATTAAAAAAGAAGTGTTCACTCCTGGGTTGCAGCCCATAGATTCAGATGTAATTGTTCTAGGGTTGGCCCTCAGCCTCAGTGGGGTTTCAAAGCTCGCTAAATGATTCTAATACGCAGCCACTGCTGAGAACTACTGGCCTATTGCTAAAATAGCTGGCAACTTGGACAGGATCATGTGGGAACTCTGCCAAAATGCAGATTCAGATTCAGTAGCTTGGGGCCTGAAAGTGTGCATTTCTAACAGGCTCCTAGGTTATGCTGAGCTGCTCTCAGCCACCCTGAGGATAGCAAAGTACTACGTGGTCACAAAGTACAGTGCAGTCATCCACTCTCTAGCCAAACCATCAACTTTTAGTGATGTAGGTGTGAACTTCAGCAAATGACTTTCTTTCCTTCTTCTTAGGGTTGTTTTAAGAACAGTGTGTATAAGATTTTAAAAACAAGCATCAAAGGGTGATGCAAATAAAAGGTATCACTCTGGTTATCTGCTGTTCAGAACATTTATTTATTTTTTAAAATATTTTTCATCGATTTTTAGAGAGAGAGGAAAGGAGAGGGAGAAAGAGAGAAACATCGATGTGAGAGTGGAACATTGATTGGCTGCCGCCTACAGGCATGCCCCCTACCAGTGATCAAGCTGGCTACTCGGGCATGTACCCTGACTGGGTATGAAACCAGCAACCTTTTGGTGCACAGGAGGATGCCCAACCAACTGAGCCACACTGGCCAGAGCCAGAACATTTATTTACAATTATAAGCACACCCAATTGCTATGGTACCACTGCTCCCCACATTCATTACAGATTACATAGGTCATCATTTGTTCATCTGGGTTTGAATTCTGTACCCAGCCTGGAAGGAAAAGTGTTCCTCTGGCTATTACAGTGACCTTGCAATTGAACTTCTCACAGTGTCTGCATTTTATTTTCTTGGTCTCTGTGCCCTCAGTCACTTGGGGAAGGCAATGCTCCTGTATGCCAGACTCCGTGTACGAAGCTCTCAACTGTTTCAGTTCCTTGCTTGCCATTTCCATGACAGTCATTTCAGCAAATTCTCTTGGTGACATGGTCCCAGAGAGCAAGTTTTGTTGTAAGTGAGAATTTTGGGGGTTCTTCAGATTGGCAACTTTGCTTCTGATACAAGTTTTATATTTTTTGAGGTTCTTTGAATAAAGGGTAAAAATGTGCTCTTCAATTTCTCTTGCAAAGTTTTGCCACAACTCGGCTTTGGACTGATCTGTGGAAGAACTAGTTAAAGCTTCATGAAGAAGCTCTGTGCATTTCATTCTCACGGGCACTGCAGGATCCAGCAACTCACTTGATTTCTTGTCAGTGGATTTAAGATCACTACCCCTGACATACTCTTCCTTAGGTTCCATTCCACTAGGGCTATTTGCAGGCACAATCATTTCAGTGGATTTTGCCAAAACATCTTGGGACGATAGCAGAGAATCAGAACTGGAGCTGCCCAATGCCTCATTTTGACTTGAGTCAGAAGAAAGTCCTGAATTTTTGTCCTTTCCATCCGTAGGGAAGAATTTGGGGCTGTCCCTTGGTTTGAAATGGGGATCCTTATAAAGAGCTTTCCATTCTGACAGCAAACACTTGGCTTTCTTTTTCAGAGCCACCGTGGGGCAGTTTTTGAGGACTCGGTACACAGCCCTAACCACTTCTGTCTGCTGGAGGTGCTCCTTAGTCACATGCAGAGTTTCGAGCTCCATCAGGTGGTTGCCAAGATCCTCAAAGTTCCTTTCAGCCATCAGTTGCTCAATAAGGGATGCTCTCGCAGCTATTTGGGCCTTGGCGGACATTTTCACAGCTGCAAAGAAAAAAGAGTTTTCTACTTTCTTAGGCTTGCATTTGCCAGTCACAGGTTCCTGATAGTAGCATGGCACTTTCTGCCAGTTACCTACACAGTGTTTTCTAAAGGAGGTAGGTGAAAAAAATGGGTGTGACATGTTAGAAAACGGGATCTGCAATGTGGCATGGTTTAGTTTTAAAAGTCTGATTCTCGGGGCAGGGAAGGTGAGGGGTATAAGGGGTCATTGGGGGAAAAGAGGACATCTGTAATACTTTCAACAATAAAGATAAATTTAAATAAAGTTTGATTCTCAGTAGTTAAAAAAAAAGCAGCACTGCAAATAGCTTCTACATGAATCACTGCTTAAAGGAAGCTTGCTGGAAGATCTGCTATAACTTTTGCCACCTCTAATTTTACAAATCAGTGAACTTCCCAAATCAAGATTCATCAGTTCCTGTGCTTGGAATTTGGTGGTCATGCTGGTGATGAAATCATGCCAATGTCAACATCAATAGGGTGCGGCCGAGCAAGGCTGGACAACGTCCCCCATATTCAGCTATAAAACGGAACTACTTGCTGATTTTATAATCTTTCCATGGTGCTTTTCTGAATATAAAAGAATGAGAAACAGGGCAAAAGGGGATGCTGTTTAGATGTCCCAAGGAACCTAAAGAAGTCATGAGCTAGCACAGGCTGGGAGGCAGCCAGAGCCAGGTCTGATGGCCCCGCTGTGCTGACATCTGAGTCTTCTGGACAACAGGATAAAGGTTTAGACTAAGCGATCCAGAGGATTTATGACATTGGACTAACTAGTCCCTAGGCCAGAGTTTGGCTGTTAACTTTTTTTAACTTTTAGGTGTAAAAAGTTGCTTGATGATTATGTCTATATGAATCTCATCTTTGGCAGGCAAATGTTTACTTTACCCCACCAGTCTATTTTTCTCTCCACATCATGCACATAATGTTGCCTACATGATACCTGTGGATCCAGATCTGCCCATCTCGTCTAAATGTGAACACAAGCATCTTGATGGCAGGGGCCCTGTCTTTTAAAAAAACCCATGGACTCCCATTTTACAGCACTTTGTATTAAATATCCATCACTGAACATACACAGGCTAACAACACTGAAGCGATTACAGACAGAATAAATGCAGTCTTCCTAGAAACCATCTGACAGGTGCTGTAAAATGTAATGCCCTTTTAGACAGCAAATCTACTTCGATAAATTTACTTTAAGAAAATGAGAGGTGTGGAGCCAGGATCTGTAAGAATTTTCTTCAAACTGAGAAGAAACTAAAAGGTCCCAAATGGTTGAACTTCTACATGAATGTTCATAGCAGCATCATTAGTAATAGACAAAAAGTAGAAACAACCCAAATGTCTATCAGCCGATGAATGAATACACAAAATGTAGTATATATCCATACAATGAAATGCTATTTGGCAATACAAAGAAATGACATTCTGATACACACTACAACATGGATGAGCCTTGAAAACACTGTGCTCCGTTAAAGGCACAGAAGATCACATATTGTATGATTCTATTTATATGAAATGCCCAGAATAGGCAAATCCATAGAGACACAGAGGAAACTGTGGTTAGCTATGTCTGGGGGGCACACCAGTGTGTGGAATGAAAAGGGGAGTTAATGGGTACAGTTTCTCTTGGGGGAGGTGGAAAATCTCTAAAGTTGATTGTGGTGACGAGTTGTGCAACTGTCAATACACTAAAAACCACACTTGCCATTAAAATTAAGCATCTTAACCCTTTTCAAGTGTTCAGTAATGTTCAGTACATTCAGTTTTGTGCAGCCAACCTCCAGAACTCTTTTAATCTTGTACACTAAAGTGTACACTTTAAATAGGGGGATGATATGGTATATAAATTATATCTGAATAAAGCTGTTATTTAAAAACAACATATATAAAGCTCCCCTGTGAAGCAGTCTGGACCAGGGCTTTTGTTTGCTGGGAGTTTTTTTATTGCTGCTTCTATTTCATCGGTTGTTATTGGCCTATTCGGGTTTTCTGATTCTTCCTGATTCAGTTTTACATGATCTCACTCATATGTGAATTTAATGAACAAAATAAACCGATGAACAAAACAGATCCAGAGATATAGAAGCATGAAACAGACTGAGGGATCTCAGAGGGAAGGCGGGGGTTGGGGAGTGGGGAGAGATTAATCAAAGAAGTTATATGCATATATGCATAACCCATGGACACAGACAATAGTGTGGGGAAGGACAATAGTGTAGGGGACAGGTTCGAGGTGGAGGGGGATCAATGGGGGAAAAAAGGGGACATCTGTAATACTTTCAACAATAAAGACAAATTTAAAAAAAATAAAAATAAAAACAACATATAGAGTCTGAACCAAATTTCACTTAAAAGTCACATGTGAGGCCCAGCCGGTGAGGCTCTGGTTGAGCATTGACCCATGAACCAGAAGGTCACAATTCGATTCCCCGCACATGCCTGGGTTGCGGGCTCCATTCCCAGTGAGGGGCGTGCAGGAGGCAGCCGATCAATGATTCTCATCATTGATGTTTCTATCTCTTTCTCCTCTCCCTTCCTCTCTCTGAAATCAATTAAAAAAAAAAATTTTTTTTAAATCATGTGAAAAGGTCAAAAATAGATACACAAAATTTTAGACTGGCATTTTCTGAATGGTAAAATTTATGTGATTTTTGTTTGTTCTCTTACTCTTTTTTGTATTTACTACGATTACTATGTATTATTTTCATAATCAGAAAACTTATTCATCTAATATAATTTCATAATAAACTCTATATACATTTAAGATATGTGCCTATTGAAAAATGGCAATGTAAATGGATCAATCAACCTTCCCTCTGGAATCAATACCGGAAAGGTGCTCCATCGCCTGTGTCTTTGCATTCAGATTAGCATTCACGATTTCCTCAGAAGTCTATCCTGACTCTCAAACTTTACCACCAAAGATAAGAATTAGGTGCCTTTAAAAAATTAAGTACTCTTGGCCACAACTATAAGGTTCCTTCTGGTGTTTCCCTGCTGGTCAGCTCAAGGATGATAAAGATTCCTAGTCTTGCATTTTTACCACCAGAATGTAGACAACCTGGACAGTTGTTGTTTTTTAGTTAACAGTAACTCAATGGGCCATCAATTCAGGATCTTAAGAGGCAATTTTTCTAATTATCGATTCAGTACTTCAAGATCATTGTTTTTTTTTCCTTTAAGATTCTACTTCCCAAAAATCAAAGGCTCAGTAAACAAAGAAGAGGCAAGATAGCACAGGAAAAAAAAATACATACTCTCAATTGCTGGATATTTGTCTCAAAATTGTCCACCTGACATCTTGGGATCTGGGGGAAGTCAAGCAGCCATGTCATGATGATGAGGTCTCAAGCCCTCCCCCACTCGCTGGAAAGTTTCCTAACAAAGAAGAAATATGCATCCTGCCTGCATTTTAAACTCATTCTATATGCATTAATACCAAAGAAATCAGGATTGAAGTTCGCTGGAGGTTGGCAAGCTAGTTAATAAGAGACAGGTCTACAGTGCCCACAAGGGGATTAGGCAATATTTAACTCAGGTCAGAATTTCTCAACGATGGGTCAGAGTCTCAAGGAGACTCTGAAGGGGAATTTAATATGCAGCTTCAGGGCATCAGTGCCACGGGAGCAGCAGTCTGACATCCCCGCAAAACCTGTTCCTTACCCATGTAAACCTATAGAAGTTAATGCATTCACGTGTAAGCACTTTGCTCTTCACTCCGTATGCCCCTCTATTTGCCTCTCCTCTGTATTTATTCATTTTCAATTTGTAATTGTGGTAAACTACACAAACCATGAAATTTACCATCTTACCTCTTTTCAAGTGTACAATTCAGAAGCGTTAAGTACATTCAGTGTTGTGTAAGCAACCTCCAGAACTCTTTTTTTTATTTTCCCATCTTGCAAAACAAACTTTGTACTCATTAAACACTAACTCCCACCCTCGCCAGGGTGGTTAGAGCGTTGGCCCGAGGACTGAAGGGTCACAGGTTCAACCTCTGGTCAAGGGCACATGCCTAGGTTGCAGGTTTGATCCCCAGCCTCCGACAGGATGTGTGCAGGAGGCAACCAATCAATGTGTCTCTACTACATCGATGTTTCTCTCCTTCTCTCTCTCTCTGCCCCCCATCCCCCCTCCCTCCCACTCTCTTTAAAATAAAAAATAAATGGGAAAAATATCCTCAGGTGAAGATTAACCAAAAAATAAATAAATAAACACCAACTCCCCATTCCCTGCAGCCCCGGGCAACCACCATTCTACTTCCTATCTCTATGAATTTCACTACTTTAGATACCTCATATAAGGGGAATCAGACAGTATCTATCTTTTTATGACTGGCTTATTTCACTTAGCATAATATCATCAAGTTTCATCCATATTGAAGCATGTGTCAGGATCTTTCCCTTTTAAGGCTGAATAATATTCCGTTGAATGAAGAAACCACATTTTGCTTATCCATTCATCTGTTATTAGACACTTGGGTTGCTTCCACCTTTTGGATTTTGTGAATAGAGATACTATTACAGGGGGGTACAAATACCTCTTTGAGGCTCTGCTTTCAATTCTTTTGGGTGTATACCCAAAGTGGGATTGCTGGATCATATGGTAATTCTATTTTTAATATTTTAAGGATCTGCTATACTGTTTTATAATTCTCTTCCATATTTTTAACAGCATTTAAATCCTGTCAAACTTTCTATTTCCCCTATGGGACAATCATGTGAATATAGAGTACTTATTACCCTAGGAGGGTACAGTGTGGAAGCAACTGGGATACAAAATTTTGAGAACTGCCATAAAAAGACAAAGTAAGTGGTGTGTCCAGTTTAGAGTACTACATAGTTCATTCAGTAAATATTTATTGTGCATCTAGTACATGATAGATGCTGAGCCTAAAGAGAGATTCTTTGCCTTGAAGGAGCTGCCAGCCCAGTGGAAGGAATACAGACAAAAAAACAGCCAATTACACTCCACAAGGATAGACACTATCCACTAGGGGACACATAGCAGGAATACTGAAACTGAATCTGGGCTTGCCACCATCTGGCCAGCTCCAATTGCTTCCTCACCTTCATGGCACTTTGTTAGAAGGTTCATCCTCTAGTAAAGATCTTAGCAAGATATTCCCTCATTTTCCTGTTTAGAGCCCTTCAGGGGTTCCCTTCTGCTTTCAGGATGAAGCTAAGCTCCTTGGCCAGGTAATAAAAACCCCCTTCCAGCCTCCTCAGTGCT